TTTTTTTTGAAAAAATATAATTGATATTTTTATTTTGGTATTTTATATTTTATATAGATGTTTTTATTGATAAGGTCATACATATAATTTTTTTATATATGTAAGAGAACACGTGTGTGTTTTGCTCATTCTTTTAGGTTTTTGAAATTAATCAACTTAAAACCTGATTATAAAATTAAAGTGGCAGTAAAAGATCTTTCATATTAGATGTAGGAAGATATAGACAAAAAATTTAAAACAATTTACATTCACGAGATTTTACGTAATTAGCAATATATATAATTTTAATAGATTATAAGAATATATTACATATAATATATTACATTAATATTATTCAGTGGAGTATGTAAACATATAGGAATATTTCTCTCGGGAAATTTTTCCTTCTTGCAGTAAAAATTTTAAAGTGTTTCTATCTCTCATTAATAGATATTTTCAATAAAATGTATCTTCTGTTACTTTAAATATGACTTCTATATGATACTCTAATAGTTTGCAACTTCACACACTTAATTACAGCAATAACATTCAAATGTCATTCATAACATTTAAATGTCTTTCTGTTTTCGAAAGTAATCAAATTTTGTCATAATTTGCGCCATGATACGAAATCAATACATGGGGCACAACTTTTTGTGCATACTCAATAGTTCACAAGCTATGATTACTTAATTATAATCGTGTTTCTGTAAAATTTTTTTCATGAGAAGTATAAGAAGTTGTTTACTGTTTTTTAAAATTAATCTGATAACTTCTGAATCTGCACTTTTTATTATTTTCAAAACATACGAAACCCACATTTATTTTTGCAATCATCAATTGTGATAATTTACAAGATCGGCTACGCATTAGTCGTCTTTCTATCTGTGCAATTTTTACAAGATATATTTTCCCCCGAAAAATAGAAGGAATTACAATGATGATGTAAGTAGATATCATCACTCATATGATACTCTAAGATTTTGACTCATTCGTTTATTAAGAGGCTCTTCTGAAGCAGCACCAAGCTCTCTGTATGGTAACGCTGAGTCTGCATGTCTTATGATTCGAATTTTTCATGGTTTTTGTATCGCTGCTTTTCCTGACAGATGACGGCCGCGACATCGTGTCGCCTCGTTGCGCCCGCTCTCAGATGTTGTCACTTTCCTCACAATGTTCTATCAGGTCCACGTCAGTCACTCTCGACTCCTTCTCCTGCTCTTTAATAGCCTCTAGCTTATTTTCCTTATTTCTGTGATTATTGCTATCCTGTTTGCTTGATTTCTCCGTAATTTCGTTTATGCTCCTTTCAAATTGTTTCGGCGGTTCTCGGATAGGAGACGGGAATCCTACGAGATCCGGATCTGTGTTACTGTGCATGAGTGCGAACGGTAGCTTCAAAGAAACTTCACCGCCCATTGCCGAGATCAATAGTTTGACCTTAAAAGAAATATCAAGTTGGGATCTTTCGTGAAATTTTATTTTGATACCATTTGACTCATAATATAATGTGATAGATCATTATAAAAAATGAATTAACTTTTTTGAATTAAATGAATATGAATCAGAAAAAATTAATTGATTTTTTAGAAATTAAAGAACTGATACTGTTCTAATGTGAAAACTACAATTTAAATTCTCCGGAGCCAACAGCAAAACGCGATGATATAATAAACGCGTGATTTATTAGAAAATTAATTTCTCTTGAAACTAAATGGTTGTACATAGGATACACATTTTTTGATATTATGACCAAATAATTAAAATAATCTTATTTTAAAATTTATTTTTAATAAATCCCTCTCATAGAAACATAGACTAGAAAAAATGCGCCACTGGGCCCCAATATTTTTTTAGTTTATACTTATTTAGGGGGCCATGAGGAGTTTATTAAAAATGGATCTCTCAGTAAGACCATTTTAATCACTTGATATCGCACCAAGAAAATTTTATGTCCTACCCACATATTCACTCTTCACTTTTTAGTTTCAAGAGAAATTAATTTTCCATGAAACTTACACATTATTATAGTGTTCGTCTTTCATTGACCCGGAACTGTAAATTGTGATTTATTTTTATTACATATGTCTCTTTTGCAATAATTCAAATTATTGAGCTTTTAGTGTTAAAATAAATATGCTTGATGATTTTGATTACATTTCTTATTTTTTCATATTTAAAAAGATTACCTTTACATAATAAGATACGTAAATCGCAAAGACATTTCTATCATCGGTTCCATTCCCAGGGCAAACAACCGTTGATGCCAAAGTTGCTCCAGTTTTCGTGTAGCTGTCTTCTAAGGCGATCCAATTTTTGGTTGAACCTTTAATAGGTCTGAGAGTGTAAGCCTTTTTCAAAATACTACCTGGACCCACAGGACAGCCTTCTTGCGAAGATACAAGGGCCACAACATTCTTAAATTTGCCGTTGCTGAACATACAAACATCCACATGTTGCACGACAAATACCTGAAAAGAATCATTTTGTTGTATAGGGCAGTTATATTAGGTCTACCGGAAAGTTCTGTCCGTTTTTGGAATAAAACAAAATACAAATTTTTATTACCGTCAATAAACTTTATTAAATAATGTAATTGCCATTATTCGGAGAAGTATTGTCAGCAACTGGATAATTTAAATACAGCAGTCCAAGAAAAGAGGCCGGCGATGTACAATAGGAAGAACATCATACTGCATCATGATAATGCCAGGCCACATGCTGCTTTGGATACTCGTCAAAAAATTGCAGAACTAGGCTGGAAAATTCTGTCGCATCCACCATATTCCCCGGACTTAGCACCCACCGACTATCACTTGTTTTTGTCCTTACAAAATTTTTTGAGGGGCAAAAAATTCAAAAATGAAGAAGATATCAAACAAGCACTGGTTCAATTTTTCGCATCAAAAGATAAAACATTTTTCGAAAAAGGGATATACAAATTGCCCTCACGCTGGCAAGAAATCATTAATAATATGAGTCAAGTATATGACATTGTAAGGACAGAAGGTTGTTTTGAATCACCCTGTATATATAGATATACAGGATGTCCTAAAACTACCGTACTTCCTCTTAATAGTAGATTCTTTAAAACATTTCAAGACGAAAATTCTAATACAAAAATGTCGAGGTTATAACAGTTTTTAGACGAGAAGCGATTATATTTTACAAAAGGCAGAGCTGAGATTTCGCGCATTCAGGCACAGCGAAATAGTAAACACCTTCATGGTAACATTAATCGACCACTTTGATAGCTGAAATTGAAACATGTCGCAAATTTTTACTTGAATCATTTTTGAGATTTAGTTTTTGCATCCATTATCCGTATAAAGAATGTACTAATGCAATGCGTAGAGAAGCGAGAAAACATATAATGACAATGCTATTGTAAATTTATACGATAATCATAATATCATAAAAAAGGCACTCCATTCATAGAAGCACTTTTTTCCCTTGTCAATTTGCCGTGCCTGAGCGCGCAAAATTTCAGTCCTTTCATTCATAAAATATAATCGCTTTCCGTTTAAAAACTATTATAGCCTCGAGACATTTTTGTATTAGGATTTTTGTTTTAAAATGTTCTAAGATATCTGCCATTAAGAAGAAGTATGGTAGTTTTAGAACACTCTGTATATAAAGGGAATAATTTCCAAATTAATTTCTATAACTGTAGATATACATATATAACTCTTTCTCTTATTTATTACTATTTTATTTTATAATATTTATTATATCTTTATACACATACACATATATATACGTATAAACTCATGGTATAACATAAATAATTTTTTATTAGCAATAATATTTTATAAGATTTATTTTTTGTTTAGCCAAGAAGAAGAATCTATTTTTTTATTAATTAAAGTTAATTATTTAAAATGATTTGTATAGAGAGAGAAAGAGGAAGAGAGAGGGAGGGAGAGAGAGAGAGAGAGAGAGATTGATTTATTTATGCTCTGGGACAAGTCCCTTGAGAGCATTGAGCAAAGAATACAATGTACATATTTTCTGTTATAGAGTTATAGATTAATTACGACTAAAAATTAAGTTTGGTTTTACTAAGTCTAACTTTCAGTTGGATAACAGTGCGTATCGTATTATATCTTAGAACTAAATTAACAAATGTGAGATATAACAGTACTGTAAGACAGGAAGGAAAGACATACCAAATACAATTTTGTTACAATCTATAACTTGATTTTCAGGAACAATCATGTGCATTACGGTTAAACAAATATTTGTACAGTGTCATGCAGAAAATGCAGAAAAGAGTTCCCTGATTGATTCAGGAAGCTCATTCCAAAATTCAGCCGCGGTGTACAGGAATAAATTTTTAAATGTTTCGGTTCTTTCGGTTCTG